TTTTTCTATAACACGCTTGTAATGACGTCCATTCATATCTCGCAATCAAACGTATTTCAAATAAAATTAGACGATACGTTTAAACTTCCGATGTGTTCTACACGAGACTCGAGCAGCGACCTAAATTATAGAGATCTCGATCTTGAATACTAACTGCCTGCAGTTATACCTATAAGTAGCGAATAAAATAAAAGTGCGGTAAATAACTCTTATGTTAATTAAATTAAATTCCTGTATATCTGTGTGGAAGTAACATGAGGTATATAACGTATAGTTGTGAGTGTGAAGCTGTAAGTCCCAAGATCTCAATCTGCGGAGCTCCAACCAGCGTCGCACATGATAAATACCCGCTCTCCGTTTTTTACGAGGAGGGTGTCACGCAAAAAAATGAATAAGGAAATTTACCTAATGGCTACGATTCTTTATCCTGGAGCCATTGTCAGAGGACAATACGGTAATGGAGGGTTCACGTGAGTGAGCCGCGACGAGCTTTGTGTTATATTTATACACTTAGTTGGAGTTTGAAGCGTTGTTTACATTCACAGGACGGATTTGTTGGGAGTTTGAAGAACGCACTGATACATTAACACTCATAATGAGCTCCAGTAACAATATGTTTAAAAATGAGGATGCTATCTACCTACTGGTTATGTCGTTTGAATAAATTAACAATAGAGAATGACTAAATTTATAGATCTATATAAAATGCATCACGGAAAGTAACGTAACCTAATAAACTAATTCATTCAGTCATTTGACATGCGAAATGAAATTATGAAATATTGTTTTATATATTTAATATAAAAATAATAAATTATAGTAAAGACTAACGATAAGGTACCTATTAACATTTATAATGTTCTGGCCATGTTCAATGAATGGAATATTTTGAAGTTTAAAATATTATATATCAAATTATATATTTAAACATGATTGTGACAGGCGTCTTTTTTAATTAGTAAAAAATATTTTAACAACTTTTGATTATAGACAAGTCTATTAGTTTTTTAATTATAAGATAAAGTTGTATTAAAATAAATCTAACAGCTCACAAGTCACAGTATCCACCGGCAGTGATGCTGTCATGAGAAAGTTAACAAAATAATTTTCATGTTGATGGTGTATCTACAACTTGTGTATCTATGAACTAGTCAACTCATTATTATTGTGATCTTAAATATGTGAGCTGTTAATTTAATAATTGTTCTGTTTAAGTAACGAGCGAGCGCGTTAACATAGTTGTTTAACATTGACCATTTAACAAGTATAGTATTAATTAGTTATGAATCAGAGCTGCCGTTAATTAATAATAAAACCTTCATCTCGTATCAACATTGTTGTGTGTGAATGTGTCCTAGTAACATATACATTACATACATAACATTGCTGCTTAATACACACTTGAATATTAAACTGAGGAAAACTTATATTAATTTAATGAGTTACACTGCAACAGAAAATATATTTTGGAATCACTGCATCATTAAGATAAGGATGCCCCACCTTAGTTTTAATTCGACTCATTTTTAACTTCGAAAGCGGTTCAAATCTAACTTATAGAGTAAAAATTAAAGTGTCTTTTAGTTTCAAGGCACCAGTTCCATTAATTTAGATACCTAATTCTAAAGAACGATCGGTAATCATTGAACATACAAATTAATTGAGTGTGACTTATAAAATGTTTGATGTTAAGTACAGTGTGAATAAACCTACAGTAATCAGACCTGTCGGATGTGTTCCGGTGTGTTCTAATCATTAACATTAATTCCTAAAAACGATGTTTTAATATGAACGGATTCTTCGAAAGGCATCTTTCTTATTGAGTGTAGTTTATAATGAGGTGATTGTTGGGAAACAAAAACGCGATGTTCCCACATATATAAACACAGAGAAGTCATGAACGACAGGCCAGGAGCTGGTCGAGTGGCTCGAGGAGGTAGCTCGGGCAAGGGATGTCTTTTGTAATAACGTTAGTGTCTTTATCCTTTGATGTTAGAAGACGAGCATGTCTTGTAAAGTTCGCGAGGTCGATGACCCCTCCCACTGTATGCAGTATACTACCTGTCATTAATAATATCCGTGGAGGAGTGTAATGCAATATGTTTGTTGAATCAACATTTTAATTGATATGAGTCCACTCCCCGGCGCACGGAGCTGCAGTCAGTAAAAAGCTGTAAGCGCGACTCACATGCGTATTAAAGTTTTTTTACTTTCCATTAAATACCAATTTTTATTGCACATTTCGCTTCATTATGTCTGGGAACGTCACGAGTGCTGGAAACACTTCATTATGTTCAAAACAATACTCAAATAATAACCATTCAGGTTTTTATAGAGGCGGGACTTGGACTAAAAGTTAACTAAGTAGCTTGTGATCTGTTCTGTGGGTTTTAATGTTTCCTGTGACTTTATTATAACACTAACAAGTAACAATATAACTCTGACCCCGCCGTCTGCGGGTTACTGACGCTCGTGTCGACGAAGAAGTATTAAGTAATTATAATCAGCAGATTAATTTACAAAGACTATTATATATTTAAATTTTAATTATGGCTTCATTTCCACTCGAATCGTGAATATTCTGCCAATGTAAACGTTTTTATTTAATGAACGAATTACATCTTTAATATTTTATGGAGAAAACGCGTCAGAATTTGTCGAATTGAATGAAAGCGCTTTTTAATTAAATAATACTTTAGGATGGATTTAATTAGTAACCAACTTTTACAAAGGGTTTTAATATACATAAGTCTTGGTGTTTGTAAAGTTGTGATGATAATGTTTTTCCATGTATATTCCCCATTCATTATAATATGTAGGGACTAATATTTAAACTTATTTTTATATATTTTTTTTAAATAATCTATACTAATATTATAAAGCTGAAGAGTTTGTTTGTTTGTTTGAAAGCGCTAATCTCCGAAACTAGTGGTTCGAATTGAATAATTCTTTTTGTGTTGGATAGTCCAGTTATCGAGAAAGGCTGTGGGCTATATAACATCACGTTACGACCAATAGGAGCAAAGATATAGTGGTAAATGTGTAAAAAACGGGAGAAATTATTTCATCTTTGAAGCCTTCCGTTGCGTGCGCCGTGAACACAGTACAAGATACACAAAAAATATAATTTTTAATGATCTATAAAACAGTCCGCGACAGTATATGTCTATCTTTTAAGATTAACTCACAAAAACCATTTTTATAGTACCTAATTTGGTCGAAATAATTTTATAAAATCTTTATTCAAATAAACAAATAAATATATTTTTGGTTAAGGGTACTTCATCGTGTATTAAAAAAACATAGGTTTTATCCTGAAAACTCTACGGGAACTCGACCATTCCGAAAACCCTGCAAGAACGGGAATTATGTGGGAAAAACCAAAAATCTGCATGAAGTCACTACTCCACGCGGACGGAGTCGCGGCAAAAGCTAGTACATCTATAATTTGCTATTGTGTGAGAAGCTGGTTAACTTTTCCTTTTTACATATCAGTAAGTCATATAATTTTCACTATTTGTATTAAATACCAAAACTCATATCAGTATTTTTTTTTTTTGCATAATGAAGTAAAATATTTTTTGAAATCAATACCTACAAAATACCAAGTATCCTAATACTTGATAAAAATGAACAATCATACAGGATGACATCAACATCATCAACATCTGATCTTTATTTCCTAGAAAACTAATATTAAAACCAGATATTTTAAATACTCTTAAAATTGATTATCTACTATATTTATATTTCATATATATTTTTAAATGGTTTTTATCAAACTGGACTTACCTAAAAGAGTTATAAATCCAGATAAAAATGTCATCACTTCATCCAATCCATCCCACTTATGCAAACTTAAATATATTTTTACTGATTGTGATTCCCCTCCCATCTTTTAAACTATATAAACTATCAATAGAATATGATATGACATGCAAATACACCAGTCACTTCTCTCCGGAGCACGGATAGTAACTACAACTACCGAGGAACGCTTCACCCACCCAACGGACAACTGTTCTACGGACGAATAACATTTTAATATTCCAAACCCCTTCCTGCCATTGGTTCAAAGTGCCCCAAACCTCTTTTGCGCGTGTGCTTAAAAAATGAAAGGGTTGAAAAACTTACCCTTTTTTTAAGAACCCCATGTTTTTTATCTCTTTCTCCCCCTCATACTAACATTAATCTCAGTCCACATGAAACAGTGTCAACAAAATTGAGGCATATATTTTGTATAATCAATTAATAATATAAATATTATAAATCTGAAGTTTAATGACATTCAATTCAAACATTATTCTCAGTAACAAATATTCAAATTAAAACATTGTTTACTAAGAGTTTTGACTTAAATTTTTAATGCATCGTTTTAATTTTATTCTAGTTTTAAATTGAAAAATAATTATCAACGGATTGTTTAATTAAACGAGGTAAAAACTTATTAATTTTTCAATAATTTGAAAACCAATTGATGAAACATATTCCTTTACTCATAAAACTTTTTAACTGTCACTTTTCATACAACCCATATTATCATTCTGAGATTTGGTCTGAAAATTTTATAACAATTTGTTCTTTATATGTAATCCAATAACATATAAATATAACAAGTATTTAAGGTTTACAAAACACGAATGAAACTGAAATTCAAAATATTTTAGGACACGAAACGGAACGTCATATTAATATATTCAAATGTAAGTTCTACACGACTGAATAATGTAAAAGTTTCTAATAAAATTTTTATAAATTTTAATATAACTTATGAATTCCTTTTTAATTATGTAATTTGAATTGAACCTATACCTATAAAATACGATATGGAATGAAAGTATCACTATAACGTTCCGTTTCTTCCATTTCTAATAATGTCAAAGAACTTGACGTAAATGATTTCTGTCAATTCATCGAGTCGCTGTGTCCAATAGGAGATTTATTCACGAAACTAAAATTTAACTTTTTAAATTTAGATTATGCTATTATCTTAAATAAAAATGACACTTTATCATTTTGGTAATTGTTTGGCTTTGGTCTATGTACCATATCACATGGCATATAAGTTTTCTGGGATGTAAGTTTAATTTATCTAATTAGGTTATAAGACTACCGATGTAAAGGTTTCTTACTTGTGTATTTTGTTACAGATCAGAGTATGCTTCGTTTTCAAAATGCGTTTATGCAGGAGGATTATATATTTTTACACAACTATGCAAAATGCTATTACTAGCAACTTTCTTCCCTGATTCTGATAACAGTCACGAAAGTGGTGAATATGATGTGTTACTAGTAAGTGTACCACAGAACTAACTTGACCGACACCAGCTTATGCTATTCACCGGTATATTTGGATATTGTCATTCATATTTTAGAAATTTTGGACACAATTGTAAATTTCATTGCAATGTAAATAATACAATGTTAAATCATGGTATAGTTACATTTAAGAGATAGCAAATTCATATCAACTGAGAATACTTGTAGTCCATTGCAGAAGCCCTTAAAATTAATGAGGAGTGAAAATAAATTATAGTAGAATGAAACTCATTAGAAAAGGAGGGGAATATTATAAAAATTAAAGTAAAAATAATTTACGAGCGATTTGAGGTCGGGAAGGGTATGGGGTTGGGTATTTAAGGGAAAAAAATGTGTTTTCTCGATTTCCGGCAAAGCTAAAAGTCCTACAGAAAAATGTTATATGGCAAAGTTGTAGGTAATAAAGAGATCTAAAACTTTTGTACTAACATTTTTTTCACATAACTTCAAAATTTATGTGAAAATTTCGATAAACCAAGTTTTTGTTTTTTTATTTTTATCTCTTACAAAAAAACAATACTTTTTCACGAAATTTGGTGTAAATTTTCCCTTTGATGTTACAAATGCACTGTAATTTATTTGATTAGAAATATTTATTTTTTCAGCTAATTTTGAATAGATACTGAGAAATCAGCCTCATTTTCAATCAAAAAATCATCCATCAAAATATCAGCTATTTTCAAAAATTTGATATGTTTTCAATTTGTTGAAATCTCTATTTTTCGAAGGTGAAGAAAAAAAATAAGTTTCTTACTTACAGTACCATTTTTGGATAAAATAATCATGTCCCTTTTAATGAAAATACACTCGATATCGTTTGGAAAATGCTCTTTTTTTCTTTTTAGCAGCTTAATGTCAATTTTCTGTAAATTACTTAAAAGAGGGACTATCTGGAAAACTTCCAGAGTACACAACTATTAAAAATAAACTACTTCCCGACCTCAGATCGCCCGTAAATTATTTTTCCTTTAATTTTTATAATATTCCCCTCATTTTCTAATGAGTTTCATTCTACTATAATTTAATTATGTTTTAAAAGCTATCGGCACTGGTCTATTGTTAGTTTTGTCAAAAGATTTGTGTCAGCTATATTCATGTACTATATAAATATGTTTTGATCATTCCAGGAGATACTAAAAGCAACAGTAGACTTTGCTGACCTCTTTGGTCTTTACTTTGCTTTAAACTCCATCCCTGGTAAAGGACATGCAAAGATCTTAACTGCAGCTGTCGGATGGGCCAGCGCTGAGGTATGCTGATACACTTAATATTATAACAGCTGAGAAATAATTAATCAATGATAGATGACTGAGAGGAAAGAAACATGTGTATGGGAGACAGGATGACTCTTTTTAGCCAACTCTAAAGATAATCATGTGTAGCGTTGCCAGGCGTCCCGATAAAGCCGGACATAATTAGGCTTTTTTCATGCGTGTCCGGCCAAAATAAATGGTGTCTGTCTTGTTAGGCTTTTTACATTTCGCAAAGTTAAAGAGAAGTTATTGATTTTTTTTTGTTAAAAAGTATAATTTGTGCCTTTCTTATTATTTAAGAAAAATTTAAATACAGTAGACGCCCGGTAGTCCGACAAACATTTTGCAGGGCAGTGTCGAACTATCGAATTCGTCGGATTATAGAGTACTGCCTAAGACCCCCTATAGTCCGGATTTTTTTACAAAAGAGTACCTTGTAATCCGACAAATTACAGATTCAATGATAAGATTATTTACATATTATGTACTTATATGTACTCTGAAGTACAAATTCAAATTCCAACTAAGCAATCAGAATCAAAACAATACTCTATGCGTCGAGCACAATAGTGATGGTGCGTAGAAGTTTTAACTTGTTCAATCATGCATTAGCAAATACAAAATATGTATTCAATAATAAATAAAAGATCATGTCGGATTACAGGGGGTGCCGGATTAGACAGGGGCCGGATTACCGGGGGTCCACTATATGTTGATAAATGCTTAAGAATCTAGAATTTAATTTTGACTGACAACTATTTGACTGATTAATAATAAAGTACCTATCTAAGACTGATTTGGCATTCAATTATGTTTATTAATTCTCTAGAAATTAACAAGATTTATGATAATAATAATTAAAAAGACTGGATTTTAAATAAAAAAAGTTGTTGTACCTATTAATACTAAGACAAAATCCTCAATAATATAGGGTGTCTGGCTTTTTTAACAAATGTCCAGCCAAACTGGCTGGTCTGTCCGGTTATTAGGTTTGGCGACCTGGCAACGCTAATCATGTGTATGAGCTTTCATACCATTGTTTTTAAATGCATCATCAGATCCTGATTTGTGAAAGTGGAACAACCTAAAGTCAACATCCTTTTAATTGACAAAAGTTAAATTACTATATTAAAATTAGTTAAAGTTGCATTCGTTTTGAAGTTGCTTAAAAAGTAGCATAAATTAGTCCTTATTACTTTAATGTCCTGTTCAAATTGGTTCAACCATTCTAGACATTAATGGACAGACAGATAAATTTTAAAAATAATATTGGAAAATAAAAATTTGAATATCCTTGCAATAAAAAGCTGTTATTTTTTTTTTATTTCTAGTACAGTCTCTACATAAAGTTTGTCTTCTGTAATACTTTTATATGAACTGTTAAAAAAGGTAGTTTTAATTTTATTGATACAACCTAAGACATCATATGGGGCATAACCTACTTATTATAAATCCACATGATTTATAGATATTTGTTACTCTTTCACCCAAAAAGTTATTGAATGGGTTTTAGTGAAACTTTATAATAATGTAGCTTATATATGAGAATAACACATGAGCTACAGTTTATAGACATGTGTGAATTGTCCAAAATATGACAATAAATGGCAATTAGAAAGTCTACCATCTCTATGCTATTCTATCTCGCATGAGTTAGGGTTAGTCATGAGTTAGGGTTAGTCTCTGATAAATAAAGTAGATACAATGTCTTTGACTGTAAATTATTCTTAACTGATTAACATTATTTCACAATATTTTTCATTGTTGTTATCCATTTTGTTATAAATTTATAAATTGTTTAAATTCTTAAATGGCTAGACTAATTGTGTTTGTGAAATTAACTTTTTCTTGAGTATTGGTGATTTAGACTTACAAATCAGCCTGGCCAGGTGTTGTTGGACCCAGTATCTGGTATATTTAAACTGGAAAGGCTGCAACATAGACTATATGTATTGTTCAAATATACTTTATATGTTTGTTCCTACACCAACTCCATTATTAACTAGTATGTATTTCATATATCCGTGTGTTGTAGGTGCTGGTGACCCGCAGCGTGTTCCTGTGGGTGGGTGCTCGCGGCTCGGAGTTCTCGTGGCGCTACGTGCGGGCGTGCGCGGAGGCCAACGTGTCGCTGCTGCAGACGGCGGGCTGCGCGACCCTGGTGTGGCTCCGCGCCCGCAGCGATCTCCCGCCGCGCCTGGCGCCGCTGGTGTTGTCCCTGCTGCTGCTGGCGCCCTACCGCTCGCTGCTGGAGGACGCGCTGGCCGCCGCGCTGTCCCTCTCCCCCTGGCCGCTGCTCGCGCTACGAGCGGTTCACGCAGCGGTGGTGGCGCTCGCCGCACTAGCAGCATACGCAGTACTAGCGCAGCAGATAGCGGTCTAGTACGCTCTGACTGGCGTGATTGATCTACTGTATTATTTATATTGTCGCCGAATTAGTTTAAGTGATCAATGTGTTCCCTGTAGCAATGGTCTAGGAAGTTATTACTATTAAATCGAATGTTGCAATTGGTTTGTATTGAATGTTCTGTAAAATAATTTAAAGATATCTCTTGTCACATTTATAGCCTGCCTCATTAAGCCCACTCACAACTCTACTACTACCAAAGACCCATCAACGTTAATTCTCTGTAACGCCATCTAGTGGTCGATTACTAGAAATAAGTATTTATTACTTAATGAAACGCAGTATAATTTACAATATGCATATTAGTAACAAACTTTATTTAAAGGAATATGATACAGTAAATCAAAAATAAAATAAAGTTAAATGTCCTTTATTAACATATTAATAAAGTTACCAGAACTTCTTAAGAAATGTAGATGTTGCAACTCAACATGGTCACAACAACTCTGTATAGTGATATTAATAGAATTATTCATTTACACTTATTCAAAAAGGGTTAAATCAAGTAGAATGCAGAAAACTCCAGCCATCAGGGAGAGTCAACAAAACGTTACAAAATAGTATATTTGCCACTGTCATCATTGTCACAGTAAATCTTCTTCTACCTGGCAATTTCCCAGCTTTAGCCAGGGTCTGCCTTACATGTTGTGCCTAGGCCACCACATTGTCACAGTACATATGGCATATTAACTGTTGTTTATTGATAAATCTTCACACATTATACTTTATAGTGTTAACGTGGGTTATAGCATGCTAACTTGTATTCTTAATACTGATAAATATAAATATGCCGTTGTCATCAGTTCATTGTATTAAACTTATTGATTAGAATAAATTAACATTTAAATTATTAACACAAGCCAACTGACTTCCTGCAGACATTTGAAGAAAAGAAACTTCTTTAAATTATTTTATTGAAATAATTTATAATTCAACAAATGACAGATTTATATCAGATGGAAGAAAAAGTGCTTTAAATTATTCGGAGACTTTTCTATGGTGTAATTTTTAAAATTGTTTCTGTAAGATGTTTTTAATTGTAATATTTTAATTATATTAGTGAGACATCATTTAAAATATACAAAAGTAAAGTGATCAAGACAGTCAAACAATATTTGTTGTGTTCTGACCACCTCCAGATAATTCTTGAACACCGGTGCTCTGTAAGTGTAAGAGTACTCATTAAATTATTTTATTTTCATTGTGGATGCTATTCCAGCAGTTTTAATATCAAATCTTGACACCTAAAAACTGTACAACATATAATATCTTTAACAAAGAAAAATAATATGAAAGATTTAACAACTCTTCAGAGTATGTCAAATTGAAGTAAAGACCGCAAAAATGTTTCATTACTTATTACCTATGCTGATATATAGTAGTTACACAAGAGACATCATTACTACTGGCACAGAAACCCTAATGATATGATACTTATGCATTATTACTACAGAATTCAACTCCATCCTCAAATATTTGACAAAATTCATTTTTTTGAGAGGTCATTAAATATTTGTCAACACTTATTTATAAGTTTAAGATTCTCGGCAGTATAAAAATGTTTATAAATTTAAATAGATTAATGTTTGGACATAGAAGGTTTACTGCAAATGTTGTCATAATTGGTGTAATAAATATCTTCTGATGTCTTATAAAAATAATCTAACTTTAAATATTTTTTATTTCCTCATTAAACAAGGAACTGTTGCAAGACAATCAGGGGATGAAACTGTCATATAATTAACGTGTTAGAAAATAATGTATAGAAAATGCTGCTGTCTAACGAACAAGGTATAACAAATTTGACACTATTTTCCTTTATAACTTAATAGATGGCGTAAGTAGCTCTCAAGTTGATTTGACATTAGGACAGATATTTTTTAAAATATCGGATACCGGAGCACGATAAATCGAAAAAATATGTTGATATTTCAATATATGTGTTTTATTTAACAAGTCTATTTAATTATAAAAAAATCTTATATTAAGTAAAAGTAAAGGTTTTAATAATGGTGAAATGTACCGAAAACTATCCAATTAAAAAATAATTGATATTTAAATTTTTACAATTACAACTTTTTTTATTAAAATTAAAAATTATGAAATTTATCAAAACGATTATATATGTAGTGTATTTTTACATATTTTTTTCGTTATAATTTGTTAAGTAAAAATTAACTGTACTGTGTGTGCCTTTTTTCTACGGTAAGGATTAAAGAATAAAGCAAAAAATATTTGTGTAGTATAAAATTAGTTTTAAGATAAAAAGTAAATTATTAAACTAGGGTACACGAGGAAATAAAATGAAACAGGGTAAATTAAATGTCAGATCATTAAATAAATTCAAATCAAAGATAAGATAATAATATCGACCACCGATATCCACATTTTAATCTCGAACTATCGATATATCGTCTGAAACTTGTTTAGTATCTACTAAATATCGATGTTTCGAGATATCGATATTTGATAAACATGCCTATTTGACATTTAAATCAAATTTTAAATTATTTCAATTGCTCATTTGCCGTTGTTTACTGTTGTTCTTGTGCTGTACATTCTCTTACAAACACTTGACCCGGCTTAATGTATCCTTGACTCCTATTTCCAGGCTTTTGACGATCGACCCCGGCTTTTCTCAATTGGACTTTGTTTTCTGCGACTGCGATCGACCCCGGCTCTTCTCATTTGGACTTTAATTGCAAACTACGAATTTGGATTATCGATAAGTTGAAAAAATGCCACGAAAATCGTTTAATAAGTGTTATTTTCGATGTGCGACTAAAGGTACGATACTTATTTAGAAAAATCTATAAAAATATTATTTGTTATAGAAGACCCGGCGAACTTCATATCGCTCTATAATCAAGAAATATCTGTTACGTTTTTTTCATTTATATTTTTGAAATTTAATGATTGACATATTAGTTAGTTTTCAAAACTAATGTCAAAAAAAACGTTTTTATCAACAACTACTAATAAATTAAAAATTTATTAAAAAAACGTTGTCCAGCCGACAAAATTGTGAATCTAAACCATTCCCAGATCCCCTTGAACACACACAAAAAATTTCATAAAAATCGGTCCAGCCATTTGAGAGAAGTTCAGTGACATACACACTCACAGAAGAATTATATATATATAAAGATACACAATCAATTACTACTCTTGTTACATCAATTTCAACCGTAACAGTTTATTGACTTCTAATAAAAACATTTCAGGTCCTTTTCATCAATTTCCTAAAACTGGATACCCAAATTTGGAGAAATTCATTCAATGGAAAAATATTTTAAATGAAGACATGAAACAAAAGGAAGATTCTTACATTTATAACAATATAAGAATATGTGATCCTTTTTTTGAACAGTTTTACCGTTCTTCAAGTGGACGACTCACTCAAAATGTACCAACTCTATACTTAAGTAAGTATCTAAAGTAAGCAACTTCCCAAGTAATAATAGGCACACAATACGTACTACTAATATAAAAAAAACTATAAATAATCAATTATATTTTATAACTATAGATCATTTTTTACATTATTATTACTTTACTTTAGGAATTGGTGCTCATAATTAAAAATTAAAAACAAATAAATTACATTTAATTGAATATAATGAAATAGGTATACAAGTCATCTTAACATTTTTATATACTTACATGTGGTTTGATAGATTTATAATGTGCGGTCTTTATTACCTTTTTTATCTAAATAGGAAAGTGCCTACAAAACAGTATCGCAAAATAACTACTTGTTTCTCTTCTTTACAAAGGTAAAACAAAAACAAAGTGTTCTAAATATGCAGAGATTATAATTTCACTGGATAACTACAAACCCAAAAAAGTTGTTTATAGTTTTTTAAGTAATATAAGAATGGCAGTGTTTAATTCAGTAAAAATTACAAGTCTATTTACATTCAATCAGAAACTCTAAAAGAAACGAGGAAGGAAGATACAATCAAGACAATATGTTATCATTTAATTTTAAGATTTTCCATTTAACTTTTCATTTAAGATTTATTTATTTATTTGTAATTAATATATTTATTTGTATTAAAAAATATATTTTATTTAGCAGCATCCACATTTGAGACTGTACACTCATCACATTCTGTTGAAACTGAATAATGTGTTGATACACAAAAAGAAGACAATGAAGCATCTTGTAGTCACCACTTGGATATAAATATTAATCAAAGCAGTCCTCCTAATTCCTCTCAATTATTTCCTAAAGGTAAGTTAGTTAGTGGGCATATAACTAAGCTTAAAATTAACTATGAATGCTATATTCACTTTTAAATTATAAAACAGCATAAAGCATTTTTAATACAATGTAAATTTAAACCACAGATTCACTAGATTTGCGAGTATCAAGATTTATTTCATATTTTCTTCTGCAAATATTGATGGTAGGTTTTGTTAGTAGTCATTTATGAATTAAAATTGCAATGTATTAAAAACTGTTTATTAAATAATTATGTCCGTAGGTAATTTGTACACAACAACAAATATGTACATATATTTTTTGTCTTTTAATAAACATTAATCCTGGTTTTAGATAACCTGATTCCTGTTTAAGTACATACAGATATATACTCAGACTAGCTTTTGCCGCGGCTTCGTCCGCGTGGAATAGTGACTTCCGGTAGATTTTTGGTTCTTCCTACATACTTAGTTCCCGTTCTTGCGGGGTTTTCGGAATGGTCGAGTTCCCGTAGAATTTTCAGGATAAAACCTATGTTTTTTTTTATTCACAATGAATTACTCTTAACTAACAACATATTTATTTGTTTATTTGAATAAAGATTAATATTATTATGTTGATACAACTTAAACAAATTATTTCGATCAAATTAGGTACCATAAAAATAGTTTTTGTGAGTTAATCTTAAAAGATAGACATATACTGTTGCGGACTATTTTTTAGATTATTAAAAGAGCTATTATTCTTTAATTCATATTTTTTTTGTATC